ATACTTGAACCAACATTGTGGAAAGAAATAGAAAAATGACCAAAAAGCGAAGCCAAGAAATGGAGAAAGGCAGCAATAGAAGAAGTGACTGCTGTTGCACTCAACAAACCATTCCCAAAGGATCGTCACAGTTTCCAAGTTTTTCGAGAGAAGCTAAATGTCCTATAGCAACGCATATGCTGTTGAGAAGGGGTGTCGGAAATAAAAATGCATATACTGTTATGTCTTTTAAGCTGTGGATGGCAGTGTAGGGCAATGTTAGTCTCTCTATGTGCATGCTTATCTATGATACACGCAAAATGTTTCCTATCTGTTACCTTCACAATGCTGTATTCTGATGTAGTATTCTTATAAGCAAGTAAAACTTATTTCCGCATTCCTCAAGATCTCAGTGCTTCATCTAAACATATAACCAACAGAGTGGACCTGCATCTGCAAATGGTTTGAAAGTAGATGTTAGCCAAGTGTAGAGAGGGGGGCTCCTGAGATCATTTCTCTGCTCTCCAATCCTCCCCACCTCCTGTTGACTTTCAAAGGCAGAAGTCCGCAAATCAAAACTGCAGAGGGCCTACACACTGGGCACCGAGACAAGCCAGGACGTGTCTGCTGTTTCCCTCCATTCAATCCTCCCCAGAACAAAGGACACATGAGGGGAGGGGGTTAGTTGCTCAGCAACAGCCTGTGTACTGCCCCTTCCCTCCCCTCTCAGGCCGGTCCCTCCCGGGACCTTTGTAAGTGTTTGTGGGAAGGCTGCATGCTCTCTTCCTCGCTGAATGGTTGACTAGAGGCTGCGCTGAGGCCGGTCTTTGTCTGTGGATTCAAAGGGATACGGACTTAACCCTTCCTGTTCTGCTCCACTGCTGCTGTGAGGACTGCTGGGATCTGTTGTTTTACCCGTACTGGATGTACTCACACGGTGCCTTGTTACCTGTTGGATTACCTCTTGCTGCACCTCTGACCCCTGGACTACTAGCCTTGTGACTCTGGATCTACTCCTTCCTTGGCCCGTTGCCTACCTTCTGGGTGGACCCTCCCCGTGGCCTGCAACCCCCCAGGACCTAACCCCGGCCTTTGTACCTTGCTTTGTACACCTGAATTCCCCAATAAACACCCCGCACGCCGGGTTCCGTGTGATTTGCCTCTGTGTATTCTCTCTGCGCTCCTAGTTCGTCACACCAAGGGCCATACAGTGTCTTGAATTTTAATTTTAAGGAAAATATATATCTCCCATCTGGGTCAATCAATTGTTTACTCTTTATGTTGGGTTTAAACATACTCTTTATGTTGGGTTTAAAAGAGTAATGAAAAGCAATGGAAATCACTTATATTTGGAGACCGGGTTAGGACAATGAACCAGGTGGTGTAAAATGTTGTATTTAACCTTGGGACATTACCTCCTTTTAAAGTGGGTTTCCTGCAGAAACAGAATATCCGTTCAACGTCTATGGAAATTATACAAAACCTGACTTCTCTTCTGCGGAACAATAAAGCCCTTTATGTTCAAAGACAAAATAGACAATTTATGATGAGCCTTTTGGAACTTGGGAACTGGTACCAGCAATGAGGGCCCTGGAGGGCAGGGCAGGTGGAAAAAGGATAGACGAGTGAAAAGAGTAGGAAAGGAAGGAAAGACAATAAAATTACCAACAGAACACATTTTAACCCCTTTGTGACGGGATATGTACACTGTACGTCCCTGCCTCTAAGTGCCCAAATGACTGCTCACGTACACTGTATGTGACCAACGAGTGCTTGCAATTTGTGAGCCAAATTCAAAATGCATAGCGCAGGGCTGCGCTGGACAGCAGTACGGGGTACAGATTGTACACCCGTACTGGTGGAGGCAAAGGACTGTTCGCCGAAAGGTAAGGGGGTGGGGGGAGACAGGGCCAGATTTGATCGGGTAATTTCATTTTCCCAAATTACGTGGGAAAGTGAACTTGCCCTTTAATGTACATTGTGCATGTCAGGGCGTTCCAGAGCGGTCAGCCGCTGGGCTATAATGTATCGCACTCCAGCTTCTCCCTGTGTTCAGGGGCGGCAGGGCGCGTGGCGGTGCATTGAAGTTGATGGCACCGCAGCCACTCCACCTGCCCACAGTGTGATTGCCCGCACCCGAACATGTGGCATATTAGTGCCTGTGTTCCGGTCCAGTGCGATCTGCAATGCTGAACGCAGGGAGCCGGCCGGAGTGTAATACAGTGCGTTCTAGAGACTGACTGTTCTGTAACGCACTGTTGTTGTGTGAACTGGCCCTAAGAGAGTTCTGCTGCCTGGCTACCACAATATGGCACATAGTGGAATGATACTTGCCAATGTCTTCACACAGCCACATAATGGCAATAAGTATTCCATCCGAGGGGGAGCTGACAGGACCAGACAGCTTCTCCAACGTGAAGCATTCTGGATATACACCCTGGATACTGTACATCCGATAGGTTAAAAAACTCACCTAAGTTTATCCTGCTTTATTGATGTTAGGTAATTGTTTGTCCGAACCAACACCTTAGGCCAGTCCACTATACTATTTCCATGATAATTAATGTTTTAAATCACTCCACAGTGGGTCGTTTGCAACGTGCAGCATTCTGGATATACACTCTGGATACTGTACATCCAAGAGGTTAAAAAACTCACCTAAGTTTATCATGCTTTATTGATGTTAACTAATGGTTCGTCCGAACCAACACCTTAGGCCAGTCCACTATACTATTTCCATGGTAATTCATGTTTTAAATCACTCCACAGTGGGTCGTTTGCAACGCAGCAACAGCTCTGTGTTTTTTTTTATCCTCTTCCCTTGGTTTTTTAGTCAAATTATTTTTAATGGGTTTTGAAGGTGTTTAACAGACAATTCTGTATTACAGTATCCCAAGCACGGGGATATTAAAGAGAATTACAGTGAATATACTTGTGATATACAGAGTAAAACATAGATAGGTAAAACGCAAATTCAGTTCAAATTAAACAAAACTGATAAGAAATTCCAGTACATAGTAGGTTAAGAAAACAACAACATGTAGTGTGTCAGCCAGGGGGATTATACCAAGTAGTCCATGGTAACCAGATTCTATCGAATTTAACCAAGGTAGATTGGCGATGTGCCAAAATTCTCTCATAATTGTAATGCATGCGAATCAATTTCAGGACCTCGCCAGTCGTAGGAGGGTCAGTAGATTTCCAGTTTCTCGCTATTAGGAGTTTGGATACTAACAGTATGTGCGTGGTAACCATTTTGAAAGGAGAAGGTGTACTATCTATGCCTAGATTTAGAACTGCTAACGCAGGGTTAGGAGCGATATGAGTTCCAATGACACCACTAAGGATTCGAAAGACTTTGAACCAGTAGTGCTTTAGTTTACCACAGGACTCTCCCTTTGTTATTAGTCACATACCTTCATTTTCTTCCCCCAATTTTAACATCTTCAATGGTGCATGACCTACGGCACTAACACATTGTTTTGATAATAGAACATGTACTATTTTGATGTGATGTCTGTAGTATTTTATACACGCACATGGTTATCTATGCCATTTGGATACTTTCCTGTGTGCCAATTGTCGTTATCCTATGATGCCACTGTTTGTTATAAGCACCATTGTCAATCATCTCTGTTGTTTACCTGTCTAAACTAACCTCCTCTTAGGTTTTATCCAGTTGTTATCTCACCTGACCTCTTTTTCTCAAATTGATTGATTTAACATTATTACTTTTGACATTGACCTTTTCCAACAATGTTAGCATACATATATATTCACAATATTAATACTGCAATCCTTATTTATCCCTGTAATCAAAGGGTTTATTATGCAGTGCATTCCGTTTTGAGATCCGTGACGCTCCTCCCTGATCGCCACCCAGCCAATGGGCGTGTGCTACACATATTGTCTATGGTTGCCTAGTAACGACTATTGAGTTTGCCTCCTCGAGTGGAAGATGGCTGTGCGTTCCATCTGGTATAAAGGACAGACCCCGCCATGCGCATGCTCAGTGGCTACTCACATTCCTTCCTTGCTGACAGCACGATACCAGTCCCACACGGCACGTGCGCCAGTGGGCAGCCCCTCTGCGTTTGGTCACTATGGCAACGGCAACCAGACATCTGTAATCTCAATGTGACGGTAATTACATACACATTCTACCTCTTGTTAACCTTCTTTCACATGGTACAATTTTTTTCATCACATCTGGCAGTTATATACTACTAATGTGCATTAACACTTCAGCAGCCTTTTCCATTGAAAACAGTGAACTGAATATGTTTTCCAAAGATTTGTTAGTTATGTTTACAGCTGTTTGGTGGATTTGTGACGTCATAAGGATATCAGGGGGTTTATTTAAGGGTGTTCCTTCACTGCTGTATGTTTATTTAAACCTTTTCTGTTTTTGCAATTGTGTCATTGCTATGCCTGATGAAGGGACCCTGCGTGGCCCCAAAAGCGTTTGTGTAACTAACATGAGTTTGCAATAAATCTACGATTTATGGTCCTATAAGGAATTCAGTGTGCTGGTCACGTTTCTGCAAGTACCGATGATCATTAGCTCCCAGTCCACCCAGTCACTAGCCTAAACCAAGTGTAGGGTGAAACGAACTCTGTTTTATTGAGCAACTGTGCAAGCTCAGATAAGGTTGTAATCACATCACATACACCCTGCCCTCCCCAGACATTCTGACTGCACAACCCCGCAGGGGTCTAGCTGCCACAGAGCTCCAGATGGCTGTAGCAGGGGTCCGGCCAGACACAGGAGAATGTCATTGTCCTGAGCTCCTTGGAAGTACAAAGAGAGCTAACAAAGGGGGTGGGGATGACAGTCTTTTGATAAACAGGTTACACAGTATAACATAATTAAAAATACCCCAACAATAACACACCCATAACCCATAAACTGATGAGCAGGTCTTCACAGAAGAGCTATCTGCAGGAGTTGAAATTGGTCCAAGAAGTGAGGCAAGTCCCCTAGATCTTCAAAGACAGCTAATTTGCCGTCATGATCGGCGATGGAATGGAAAGCCCCAAAGTCTCAGCACACCCTGACTATGCGTAAAGCACTCACACCTCTGCTCTTCGCTCTAAAGACATAAAATACAACTTGTATGTCTTTAGAGCAAAGAGCAGAGGTGTGAGTGCTTTACACATAGTCAGGGTGTGCTGAGACTATTCAGGGAGTAAATAAACCTCAGAGCCAGTAAATAGGATTTTATCCTGAGATCTGGCAGCTCACATAATGTCTTACTTAATTTTGGAGATATAAACGTGGCAGATCATGTGCATGGGATATAATGCATCAGAGCGCTTTGGGCCCAACGCACAATAAATCCTATCAAGCTCGATGTGATGATCTTTCAGCTGGTCTAGTAGCTGGTTAAAGATAGCCAAGGCAGCAGAGGGTAAGTCTTTCTGAACAACTGATTCAGGCAACCCCCCTCAGCCTGATATTGTTGTATCTATTATGATTCTCAAAGTTATCTTGTTAATGTATAGGCTAGTGAAGCAGAGCAGCATGCTGGTTTAGAGCAACTAAATGTATTTTAACCTGGTCTCAGCACCGTGGTGGCATTTTCTATATCATGAACCTATGCTCATATGTGAATCATGTGCGAATATCTTGCTTCAGATCAATGATCTCTTGTTGGCACTGGTCTTCCAAACATTTCACATTAAGCTCAATATCAGCTTTTGTGGGCAATGCTTTCATATATGACTCATAAGTCCCATCCATCCCTGGAACCGAGTGAAGCCTGTGACAAGCTGTGGGAGCATGGGCAGTGATTGTCAGAGCCCTGGGGGAAAGAGGACCGCTGGTCCAATCT